GGTATTCTCAACCTTAGAGAGGTGGCTGAGCAGTGGGACCAAGACGACTCACTGAGCTTTTCTAGGGCTGGACATTGACCTTCCTGAGACTTTCCCCTCTCTGGTTCTCAGTCCATGCCTGCCATGCAACCTCCTAAGGATGACCTGAGCTTTGCACGCATCCTGGCTCTGGCGATGGGGTCTCCCCGGTATGGGATACTGGGAGGTGGCTTTCATTGTAAATCAGAGTCAGCATGGGGTTTAAACAGTAGTCTTTGGTGGGCTTTACCAGTGGAACTAGGCAGAGCACGCTGAAACACTGATGTTATTTCTAGGCTTGCAAAGCTGAAGGGCACTCTTAGACCAGGGTTTCCACACCTGTGTCATGCCAGCCCCAGACCTACCCTGAGCAGCCAGCTGGCCTCCTCCATCTGGCTGTCCCTCTCCGATGGCATGATAAATTACAAGCATCAGCTTCGGTGCCTGCCGCAGAGTTTCCCAACAAGTTTCCCACTGGTGCCTGCAATGGGAATCATGGCTCCAGGCCCTTGGGAAGAAAGTCAGGAGACCCCCTGCCCTGGGCCCCCACAAGGAAACTTCAATGGGGCGGGGCACAGAGCCCTTCTGAATCCATCCTCAGAAACCCTGCTCGAAACAACAGCACTGATGCAGCATTTATGAACAAGAACCTTGCTCATAAAAGCAAACCTGGGCACTGGAGGTTTGATAAACCTGGAAGAGGTACAATTCTAGTGTGGCACAGGCACGCCATGGAATATTACACATCAGAGAAGAGAAGAAATCACGACTCTGTGCAACATCAAGGATGAATTCAGGAACATAACGAAAAAGCAGGTTGCAGAGCATGACACCATTTTTAGAAAGCTCAAAAACAAGCAAAACCAAACAACATATATAAGGTTACATATTATACCCATATTATAAGGAGTGGCAGAAAGAAAGGTTAGTGACAAAACTAGTTAAAAAGCAAAGCAAGGGTGTAATAAACACAAAAATCAAGATGTATTAATAGTTGACTCTGGGATAGTCAGTAGTTTCACTGGTGTTCATCTTATAATTTTATTATGAAGGTGCCCCTCGATTCTGTGTATTTTGGTATGTATCAAATATTATGTAATTAAAAGCCAGCCGAAGGCACTGCAGCTATCATTACTCACGCCCCGGGCCTGCAAGCTGTGGCATGCTTCCAGGTTCCCCACAAGCATTGCTGCAGCGACCGCCCACAGCACCAGCTGCTGATGGCTCACACCTCCTGGGGCTCCGAAGCACGTCCCTGGGTCCCTGGCTTCTGCTGGAGATGACACGGCTGCTGCCCCAGCAGGATGAGGTCAAAGGTTAGAAGTGCCTTTCTCTCTGTTAGCACACTCAGGCCCCTTGTGTTTCCTATTTCCGGATTTCTGTCTTCCCCTTAAACCCGAACCATTGGCTTCAGCAAATCAATTCCTATTTCACTGGGGGGCTGCCCACTGGGTTGCACCTGTCCAAATCCAGCCTCACCACCTTCCACCTACTTATTCATTCATTCCACACATATGGACAGAGCACTTACCATGTGCCAGGCACGGTTCCCAGGGCTGGGGCTGCAGCAGTGAACAAAACCACACAAAACCCCTGCCCTCCTGGAGCTTACCTTCTAGTGAGGGGAGACAGTTGACACATGCTAAGTGAGTAACTCTAGATCAGGGGTGACAAGAAGAAAACTATAGCAGAGTAAAGGGATGGGGCGAAAGGAATGAGTTTGGGTAGGGTGGTAGGGGGAAGGCCTCTCTGAGGATGTGACCTCAGGGCAGAGACCTCAAGGAAGTGGCGGAATCACGTGGGTTTCTGGCAAAGAGGCTTCAGGCCATCGCCACTGCTCCTGGCAACCCTCCAGGAACTAGCCTGGAGACAGGCTTCCTTCCTAGCCATCCTCCCCTTGGCTTCTTTATTGCCAGGCACTGCCAGGCCTCCAGGCTGGATCGGGCCTATAGGCTGTGAGTTTTCACATCCTCGTCAAACCTGTAATACCTGAATGCCTGAAGAAAAAGATGGTGGCTTTAATTACTATTCTTAGAATGAATGACTTCTTAACTCCTGAATTTACCTGAGTGCCACCTGCAGTAAATTCACCTGGAAAACCATCTGGGGACTCTCTCCTTGTATGATCACTTGTACCTCTCTAGGGTGGTTGTGGCAGCTGCCACAGCAGCTTGAGCAATGGGTGAGGACCAAAATATCACAGAGGTGGGAAAGAATCCAGAGGTCGCAGGGCCTGGCTCTTAGGCTCTGCACAGGGAAGGCCCAGAAGGTTCTTTCTCTCCTGGGTCAGACAGACAGTGTTTGTCAGCCTCTGCTCCCAACCCCTCAGCACTCGAGCAAATGGCTGGAATAATACTGTGGTGGGCGCTGGCTGCTTCCAAGGTAGAGGCCTGGAATATAGTCACGTATATTTATGACCGTGGCACTAAATCCTAAGGAAGAGCAGGCTGATTCTGGACCTTGGAGCTCTCCAGCCTTGTTCATTCATCCATACAAGCTCCTACCCCGTGCCAGGCCCTATGCTGGGCGCACAGGGTACAGAGATGCAGCTCACACGTATTGCACTCTCTCCGTGTACTAACACGGGGTACACTCCATGTAGTACACTCTGTGTACTAACTCTGTGTGCTCTACCTGTGTTTCCTCATTCATTCTCAACCAACTCTGTGGAGCAGGTATTACAGCCAAGGGGTGGGGTATAGAGAGGCGAAATGCCACTGCCCCGGTGCCCCCGCAGCACCCTGCCCTTATGAAGACAGTTTATCAGCTGTCAGAGAGGCAGACAGATGGACCCTAATAGTTTACCTTACAGTGTGGCGACTAAGGCAGTATGAACGTTAGTTAGTCACTATGACAGCGTTCCTTCACAGAGGGAAATAGCAAGAGCTGTCATGAAGGATCCCTCAGATGTTGAGCAAGGCTTCTCAGCGACCTTCAGCCTGTGTCTGAAAGAACGCCTCAGGAATTTGCCTCCTGAACCAGAGGGAGAACATTCCAGGCAAACATCTGGAGAGACCAGATCTCTTGCTGGAGCTGGGAGGAGAATATAAGAGTTGTGTGGGGAGGGGAAATATCTCCTGTGGAGATTTCCTTCTTCTTCCCTTCCTGTTCCCTCTTGGCGGAAGCAAAGGGACCAGGGAACCAAAGGGTCCCCTGTTGAGACTGTATTTCCCCTTTCCTGGGGCTGTCCACAGTGTCTGAGGCCCATCAGCTCAACTTCATCACCTCAGAGGTCCTTGGGGTGCCTGAAAGTTACGCTGGTCATGTCAGAAAGCATCTCCTCATCTGCCCTCCTCACATCTCTTAGCGTCTGAGTTTCAGCTTCCTCATTGGCAAGCTGAGGCCCACAGTGTCTGTTCTTTACAAACCCCAGGGCTGTGGAGGGGATGGGAGATGAACCCGCATGTGAGAGCCCTTGGAAAGCTGGGATAAGGTACACCTGGAGGGGATGATGGTGACACTTAGTGCCTCCTCATGGTGATGGGCTACATGCCATTCCAGACTGACAGATTTAATCTCAAATGCAAGGTCCAGAATCCAACACCCTAGCAACCACCACAGCTATCTCCTGGGCAGTATTCTCAACACTGTAACCACAGATATAGTCCTGAAATGTAGGTCAGATCGTGCCACTCTTCTGTTAAAAGCCCTGCATGGATGCCCTATCTCCCTAGAGTAAAAGTGAAAATCTCATTATGGCCCACTAGGCACTATGTGAACTGTAACCCCCACCCCGCCTCTCTGAGCTCATCTCCTGCTTTGTCCCCCCTCACTCCAGCCACTCAGCTGGCCTCTTTGCTGTTTCTGCAACTCGCCAAATTGCTCTAACCCCTGGGCCTTTGCACTTGCTGTTCCTCTGCCTGGAAAGCTCCTCTCCCAGAGATATCCTCGTGGCTCTCTATCACCTTCTTCAAGTCTTTGTCAGATGTCACCTCAGCAAGGCCACCCCCGACCATCTTGTTTAAAATTGCAACACCCCCAACTCCTCAACTCTGTACTCTCCTCACTGGACCCTGTCCTGTTTCTTCAAATAGCCATTTTTAATCTTCTAATTTACTACTTTGTTTTGCTTATTTATGCCCATCTGGAATGTAAGCTCCACCAAAGCAGAAATTTTGTCTTTGTATTTAACGACTGTATTCCCAGCACCTAAAACAGTGCCTAATACGTAGTGGTCAATCACTGTATAGTTGTTGAATAACTGTAAGAATGCACAGCTTGACATTTGCCCCTAGCTCTAGGCCAAGACAGGAAACCCCACTGGTGACTTTGTATTCTCCTTGGAGGTCAAGGGAGCTGGCATCTGAGCGGGTAGCAGTCCTTGCCTAGCTCAGTGCAGACAGACATTTATGGAACCCCTGGCAGGTGCTGTGATGTCTCCACCCTCCTCTGGCTGGGTGGGTGCTAAGGCTGCTGGGCCAGAGGGGAGCCTGCTAAGGGGCACAGGCCAACCGGCGCCCAGAGCCCAGGGCCCAGAAGGAATCACAGGCAACTGAGATGGCAGGGCGAGCTCAGGCAGGTCCCCTTCATCCACTAGCCCACTAGTCCTGACTGGCTGGTGACCTTCCCCAGGTGGCTGCCCTAGCTTGGCCCTACTCCTGAAGGTCCAACACACTCAGCCTCTCCCTGGCCTCCTTTCGAACTCTCCTCTTCCTGGCCCTTTTCTTCTCCCTCCCCCCATCCTGCCCCGACCCCTCCAAGCCCCTCGCCCTTCTTCACGTGTCCCCTCCCCCACCACACCCCCCTTCCATCCCCCTCAGGTCTCCACCCGGGCCCCCGACACCCCCAGTCCCTCTCCCTGGCCTCCGCAGCCACCCCGCCCTTCCTCGCGCCTCCCCGCGCCCCTGCCCGGGCCTGGGCCCCGGCCCCGGCCGCGCTGCGGCTCCGGCCCTGGCGGCAGGGGCCGCTCCTCGCGGCGCCCGGGCCCTCGCGCCGCCGCCGCCGCCCGCCTCCCCGCCCTTCCCGGCGGCGCTCCCGTTACGCCGCGGAGCCGGGAGCCGGAGCCCGAGCCGCGGCGGCGGCGGCGGGAGGCAGCGAGGGGGCGCCGCGGCGGCGCGGCCTGCGGGGCCTGCGGGAGGGCGGGCGGGCCGGCGGGGCCCGGCCAGGCCGCGATGGCGACCAAGAAGGCGGGCTCGCGGCTGGAGACGGAGATCGAGCGCTGCCGCTCCGAGTGCCAGTGGGAGCGGATCCCCGAGCTCGTCAAGCAGCTGTCGGCCAAGCTCATCGCCAACGGTACGCGCCGGGCGCGGGCTGGGCTGCGGGGGGCACGCGGCCTCCGCGGGAACGGGCCCCGAGGCGCGCGGGCGGGCGCGGCAGGGGGCGCGGGCAGGGGCGCGGCCGGGCCGCCAGGGCGCCGCGGCCCAGGGGATGTGCGCGGGGCCAGGCCTGGCGGAGCGCGGGGTGCCCCGGAGTCACGCGGTGTGGGGCCGAGAGGGCGCGAGGGGCTGTGCCGGCGGCCCTGGGTTCCAGCGTGCAGGGCGGGCTTCTGTGGAGTCCGGGGCACACGGGGGCTCAAGGAGGTCAGGGGCCGGCCTTGGGCTTCTAAGAAGTTGGAGGTGATGGGGGGACTCCTTCAGGACATGAGTGTGAGTGTAGGGGCAGTCCAGAGTGTGTGTATGGTGCACTCGGGGAAAATCAGGATGTATTTATGGGGGTCCCGCGAATGTGGGTGTTGAACAGAGACCCCTGGGAAACATGGTTTGTAAACATATGTTGTTCAGGGGGCTCCCGGTGGAGGCTCAGGCCTGGGGCGTGCGGGGGTGGTGGTGGAAGGCCGGTTGGGATGTGTGTTGAGAGAGTAACGTGTCAAAAGCTGCAGACCTAGAGAGGTAGAGATTGGGAATACAGGGGAAGTAGAGTCAGGAGAGTCAGGAGGGGGAGTATTGTGGAGAGAGGTGGGAATATGATTGAAGAATGTTGGGAAATGGAGTTGGCTGTGTGTGGGGTCTGGCCCAGAGGAGGAGGGGGTCTGAAGGAGCCTCTGAGTAGGAGCCTGGTGCCTGCAGTTGGCCCATGACCCCTTTGAATTAGTTCCCGTACCCAGTCAAATCAAAACTGCATCTAGAATGCCATTCCAGTGCACAGCTCCACGTGGCCTTATTTGTTTTGGAAGCAAGTATCTTTAATATTTGCTTGTCTTTTAGTACCTGCCAAAGTGCTGGCACCAGTACAGTGGTGAGAGGGCAGAGGTTTTTGTCTTATTTCATTTTTGGCTTCCCGGGACTGGGTGAGCACACGCTGGTTGAACAAATGAATGAAAGAGGGAATGAATGAATGCTCTAAGAAAGGACATTTGCACTATTTTCAACCTTCTTACTTCAAACTACCTAGAAAGCAAGAGGAATGTCACATGTCCTCATCAAGGATGGTTTATGTTTGTATCTGGTAGTGTTAGTGCCTTGAAATAAGAACTTGGTTTTGTGCACTCTCAACTATGGTTTCTTGGGCTGGTCAAGTATTTTCTGGGTGCATACAGGTGCCATAATAGTGCCAGGGGCGAAGACCCTCCCTGGGCTCAGCTTGGTGGAAAATGTTGATTCTTCTTAGTTAAGATAGCATTTGAGGAAATGTTCAGTCCCCTGGGCCCTAAAGACTGCTTGCCCTTGCCCTCCCTGTATGGCTCACCTGCTTGTCCTCTTGCTTCTCTGCTTACCTGCAGCATTTTCTCTTTTCTTCTCAGAGTTGGACAATCCTGGGTCTACTTTGTCACTTACCAGGTGTGTGGGCATAATGATACCTTTTGTGCAGGTTGATGTTAAGATTAAATGGGTCCTTTGTGAGCCTCCTGTTTTTTCCCTTGTGAATCCACTTGTTTCCTGTTCTCTTAGGTCATTCATTCAACCAATATTTGTGTGCCCACCTGTGCCAGTCACAGAACTGACCAAGTTCCTACCCTCATGCACTTACCCTCCTCTGAGGAGGAGACAGATGATAAGCAAATATGGAATAAATAAGCAGGTTAGCTTTAGATAGTGAGAACTGATTTAAAGCAAACAGACAAGTTAATGTGATTGAAAATGACAGGCAGATGAGGGAGGATTCAAGCTATGGTAGTCCCTGGAATGAGAGGGTAGGTGAGCTTTTGGTGGATTGGGCCCATCTTACTCACCTTTCAGGTCCTCCACAAGGCTCGGCCCTCTTCCCTGGGCCTGGTCGCTGTGGCCTAAGCTGTAGTCACGAATGGCGCTTGGGCAGGTGGGGTTTGCAGGGCACTGTGATCCATGGGTGTATATGCAAGTTTGGTTTTGGGAAGCTAAGGAGATAGATTTTTGTCCTGGAGACTCACATGGTGAGCAGTGGCTTTTGATGGCAAAAGGTCACCCAGACTTGAAAAGGTCAGGGAGATTGCTTAGGAAGATAAAAAATAATAAAGCCAAAAAAAGATGAAACAAAACCAGAATTATTGTGGCTTTCCTTAACATTCAGAGAAGTGTTTGAAGGAGGGTCCTCCCCTTCCTTGGGCTAATGATGGTTCCCTTGGGCTGGTAGTGGCATTTCTTCCTGGCTTTGGGGGGGCACCAGCTCCCCTTTAGGCCCTATTGGGTGCACTAGTTCAAGTTCTGTGCAGTTTTTGCAAAATCCTGAAGTTAAAGCATTTGCTACTTAGAATAAGGAAAGCAAGTTAATGTCATGTTTATCATACTAAGGCAGAAAAGAGCACAGTCTTTGGAACCAGCTGGACTGGAGCCTGATTCTTATGACCTTGGCCAAATTGCTTAACTATTCTGAGCCTCAGTTTCCTCGTTTTAGAATAGGGATTAAAAGACTTACTTTACAGGGGTTATGAGGATTAAAGGAGCTAATATCTCCCAGGACTAGCCACAGAGCCTGACACCTTATTCACTTATTTATTCATTCCATAAATATTGAGTACCTGCTGTGTGTTAGCCACTGTTTTAGGCACTGGGAATATACCAGTGAACAAAACAGACAAAAATGACAAAAACCCCAGCCCTTATGAAATCCACATTCTGTTATATTTAATAGTAGGGAAGGGGTAGGGAGACAGATAATAAGTAAAATCGCTAATTGAAGCTCACGGGATGTCAGATGGTGGTCAGTGCTGTAAGAGGAATAAAATGAAAGGGACAGGTGCTTTGGGAGTGGCGGGGGTGGGGATGAATAGGGTGACCCTGGAAGGTCTCACTGAGGAGGAAGAGTCTGAGATAAGAACTAAGGTGGTGGAGAAGCAAGTTCTAGGGAAGGGACTTCAAGGACAGAGGAGTGGTGGGGCCAGATCCCGCAGGGCCTCGTAGGCCATAGTTAAAGCTTTGGCCTTTCTCTGGGGGAGATGGGGGCCGCGGGAGAGTTCGAGCACAGGAACCCGTGGGCTTCCCCACCCGGCAGCCATTAAGGACTCTCAACAGTGAACATTTTCAGAGCCTGCTCCTTCAGCCTGACACCTTTGAATTATATTGGTTTAGACATTTTGCCAAGAGGTGGATAAGGAAGAAAAGTGCAAATGCCAAGTTGAAAACTGAGCCCAGAAATCTGACTTCTGCCTCACACCCCATTGCAGTCACCATTTTAATCGGGCCATCTCAGAAAACTAAACTGTGGTAGCTATCTCTGTGCCTGACCCTGGTGAGTCTCAGCAAGAGAATGATCCCGTAAGTTAGGAGCATGGGGGAAGGTCCCACTGGAGTCTAGGCTGCTACTGCCTGGAGTGTGGTCCAGGGATCAGCAGTGTGGCTATCACCTGGGAACATGGCAGAAGTGCAGACTCCTGGGCATCCCTGTCCCCTGACTTGCGCAGTCAGACTCTGCATCTTAGCAAGGCGTCTGGGGCTTCGTGGGCACTGGGAGGCCTGAGGCGCCCTGGGCTGGAGCTGAGGCTGCTGCTGGAGAACTCAGGGGTGAAGATGGAGAACCTCACGCTGGCTTCCTGTTGGCTGACGGGCCAGTCCTGGCCCTGGCAGGACAGTCCCAGCTGCTCTCTCTTTCCCTGCAATGTCACCCTCCAGCCTCCCAAGGGTGAGGTCACTGATGTGTGTGAAAGTGCAGTGATCTGGCACCTGGTTTTAAATTTGGAGTTACCTGTGGCTGGCTCTCCGAGCCCGCCCTTCCTCACTGCTCACTCCGTGAAGGCGGTTCTGCAGATCCAGCGGGCTGATCCATGTCAGCCTTGGTGTAAATACCGGTGTTATTCTCTCAGTTGACTCAGTGTAACCCTGGGCAAGGCAGGCCGAGTCCTGGCTGTCTCCTGGCAGTGAAAAAGAAAGTGAGGGACCTAGACGCGACACAGCTGAGCTAGTGCCTGGTCAAGACTCCCCGTATTTCAGTGAGAGAAACAGGCCTCTGAGAGGCCGGGCCTGCCCCAACAGACAGCCGCTTCCTTTGCCCAGGCAGTGCCGGCTCCTTCCCCGTCTGCTAAGCTTCTTAGGCGAGCTCAGTTGCGGAGCTCACTTAGAAAGATTAGGCCCCACATGGTCGCTTCTCCCTTAGGGGATCATCGTCTGTCTGATTCGATAATATTTCGAGACATTTTAATTACCTCTTGGAGACGAGTAGGTAGGGGAATGGTGTCTGAAACAAAGGATATTTCTGGGGCAAGGTTTGGTTCCCAAATGTATTTGGACCATTAGGTGGGAGTGAAGCTCTTGCCTTTGCCAGTAGCTGCCATTCGTGTTGTTTGAAGACAGGGCACATATGGGATGTGCCTTCCCGCTTTCGGGGGCAGCCTGGGCCGCTGGACGCACTCATTCCTTTGTAGCCTTCCCCCAAGGGGGATCTGTCAGTGGTGGACTGGGGGCCTCCCTGGCTGGCCTGAGGGTCTCCTCTGGAAACAAGGCTGAGGTTTAACTGAGAGTCTCTGCTGAGGGGTAGAGGTGGCCCTGTTGTATGGGGATGGCTTCTTTGGGCATGCCTGGGGCGCCACAGACCCCGAGGAGTCAAACTGCTCCCAGAAGGCAGGGAAGGACACCAGTGAGACCTCCGGGGACCCTCCATCCTAGCCTTCTGAGGCTACCCATCCTGCTTTGAAATGCTCTGCCTTGTTCTTTGAAGGACACACCTTGGTGGCAGACCGCATGTCCTGAGTTTTGGATTAAAAAGATTCACCTTTTTGACAGTGATGGGTTGATGGTGCCGAGCTAGGCATTGGGGCTTGTGGTCATGGTCCTCAGAACAGGACATTGACGTCTCATGGCTGTGTGAAGTGGGGCTGGGACTGCTCAACTCTTCCCCTGGCCTCATGCTTGGGGGAATTTTCAGGCACTGAGTCGGGAGAGCAC